CTGGACGCCCACTCCCTGGGCTGGAATCCCGCTGGGCGAGGCGGGGGCTGGGCTGGGCTGGGCTGGGAAAAGGCTGGGGAGGCACCTAAGATGCGAAGCCAGTCCTCTCAATGGCCACTGCAGGCTGGTTCCAGACTAGAGGAGGTGCGGCCTGGGGTCCAGCTGGGAGATCACCCTGAACCTTAGTCCCTTCCCTGCAACATGGGGTGACACCCGGCGTCCTGCCCACCTCGCACATGGGATTGTAAGGAGATCACGTGAGGGAGGGAAATGTCAGGCGCTCTGAAGACTTGTATCCTGGAGATCGTCATCTGGGCTTCAGACAGGAAGGGGGCTCTTTGAAGACACCAGGAGCAGGATGGGGGCATTGCCAGAGCCCCATGTCTCATCAGGCAGCAGAGGGGAGTTGCAAGGGCTGGGAGATGGAGAAGGCAGCCCCCTCATTTCCTGGGGGGCTCTTCCAGGACTGTGACCACCTCACCCTGACCCCAGCCATTGGGGAAGGTCAGGAGCTGTCCGGGCAGTCTGCATAGCAGCCTCGGGCTCAGGGGCCTGCCCCAGCTTCTGGTTGCTGTGGCCTCCAGGGGCCTCTAGGGAGGCCTGGTCACCTGGAGCGGGGTCTGGTGGGGCCGCAGGGCTCGCCCTGCGTGAGGGTGTGGGGTGCTTGCCTAGCAGACCCCACCTCCCTGCTACCTCCTGCTACTCCCTCCACCTGGCACCAGTAGCCTGCTTGTTCTTCCACTTCCTTCCCTCCAATCGGGAGGGAGGTCAGACTGGGAGGTGCCACCTTTGCTGGGATGACCCTGAACCTGTCACCCCAGGGCATGGGCCAGGCTGAGCCCAGGCCGCATGACCTTTTCACTTGCGGGGTTGGTGCAGAAGCGGGCATCGCAGAGGGCTCCTTCCGTGCAGCCAGATGGGTCTGGGCCAGAGGCTGGGAGCCGGGCACCTAGTGGGACCCCCACTCCCCAGCCAGCTTTCCACTCACTGCCCCCTAGCAGGCTCTCCAGCATCTCAGTCGGCTTGGAACTCCTGTCTGTCTTGTCTGTCTGTCTCTCTCTCACACACACACACCTTTAGCCCATGCTCAGAGATTGATAGACATTTTAAATTGGAAAGTATCGTTGATCCTAACCGCCCCCCCCCCCCCCCCCCCCCACTCCCACACATTTCAGAGATGAGGAAAGCAAGCAAGAGCAAAGTACAAGGCCTGCCCAAGGTTGCAGAGTGAGTTCTGGCTCCTGCCAGAGCCGCCCTGCCTCGCAGCGCCCCACCCCAGCACCCTCAGCTATCTCAGCTCAGCTGGCTCCCGGCCCAGGCCCACCCCCGACTCCATGACTCAGGGCTTTCCCCAATATCACCTTTCCCGAGACGGGTCAAAGTGTGGTGGTGGGGAACCTGTGTGGGCCCGTGGTCATACCCACGGCAAAGCCTCGCCTCTCCCTCTACTGCTGCCTCTGCTTGATTATCTCTGAGGACGGGCTGCTCACTTCCCCTTTCACTCCCAAGCTCATACCGGCTACACGCACACATCCCCTCTTCACCCCAGACACACACCCACAAACCTCGTGCGCACACACACTTTCCCCGAAACTCAGTTCCATGTACTTGGGGGCAGGGCGCTGGGCGAACGGGGCCTTGCAAGGTGCTGAGGAGCAGCTGGCCAGGACTGGTCTGTTTCTACTCCTCTGGGTCTGGGCCCGGAGAAAGCCGCTCAGGATGGGGGAGGGGTGGAGGAAAACAGGCCCCTCTCCAACAGCAGCCACACACTGGGTGCCGGGCTCTGGTGGTGGCTAGAGGTGATGGGGGAGGGGAGAAGGTACCCCACCCAGTTTTCTCCAGAGGCCAGTGCAAAGGGGTGCAGAGTGGCCCAGGGCCCCAGCTGCTCACCCTCGACAGGTGGGAGGCTGGAGGGAGGGCTGTAGCCAGTCTTCTTGAGGATGGGGTAGGAGTAGGGACAGGGATGCTCACTATGATTTAGATACCTGGGGTCCCCCCCCTACCCCCCTGAGACAGACCCCCAGTGAAGAGCGCACCTCAGCCATGAGCCAATCCTGTTTCTTGGCTGGGTCAAACTGGACGTTGGCAGCAGCACCTCACCTCACACCTGGTCACCCTTCCCCCAGCCTGATCCCTCATTCTGTAAGAGAGGAAACTGAGGCAGAGAGAGAGCGAGCCTTGCTGGGGTCCCATGGCCAGTCTGGCAGGGTGGGCATCAGGGTCCAGGACTGCGGGCTCCAGGGCTTATGCCCTTTAAGCCTCCTGGCTAGTTCCTGCTGGAACCCCTTCCCGGCCTCCCCCTCCCCCTCCCTCTGGGACTCCTCAGCTGCTGCCTGGCTTCTCATCTCTGCCCCTCCTGCCTCCACCCACAGGACCCCTGTGCAGCGTGCTGGTGGGACGCTTCGGCTGCCGGGCCACCGTGATGCTGGGGGGCGTGCTGGCCAGCCTGGGCATGGTGGCCAGCTCCTTCTGCCGCACCCTCGGCCAGCTCTACCTCGCAGCAGGCTTCGTCACAGGTGACTGTCATTCCGTTTGGAGAGCTACTGGGCGCCTATTAAACAGTGTCACATGCAAGTGAACAGGGCAGGCAAAGCCCATCACTGGGGCTGCTCACAGGAGGCAGCCCACAAAGGGGAGAGGCCAAGGACAGATAAACGAGGAGCCTATCTGATCGCGCCAAGACAAGTGCGTGAGAAGACAGGACAGCCGATGTGACGGCGTCCTGGCTGAGGGTGGTGGTGAGCAGAGATTAAACAAGGAAACATGTAGAATGTCAAGAACGCCCAGGGTCGAAGGGAGGCTGTTGTTTGCAACAAGCAAGCGGAGGAGGCCTTGAGAGGAAGGGGTGGCTGGGCAGAGAGCTGAAGAAGGGAGTCTGCCCCTAGGTTCTGGGGGGAAGGGCATTCCAGGCAGAGGGAACAGCAAGTGCAAAGGCCCTGGAGTGTCCAGGGGCAGTGCAGTGGCCAGTTGAGTAGAGGGGCATGAATAGGGGTGGAGGCTGGATGGGGGTTCGGTCGTAGTGAAATGGGAAGTCATGTGAGGGGTTCGGGCGGCTGGGTAAGTGACATTCATCTGACCACTATTTGCAAAGCACCTGCCAGCTGGCCGGGGTGTTCAGAAAACACTGCAGGAGGCTACGCACATGCAGTGCAGGGAAGAGTTAAGGGAGACCCAAGAGCAGGAAGGCTGACCCCAGGGCTCTTTGCCCTGAGCTGCTGGAAGAACGAAGCAGCCACTAACCACCCTGGGAAACAGGGGGGGGAAAGAGGGGGGGGGGGGGGGGTTGCAGGAAGACGGGGAGCTCAGATGTGGGACAGGCCCCGAGCTGAGCGAGCTGTTGGGACATTCTGAGAGGGCTGGTATTCAAGTCTTGAGCTGAGGTGTCGTCCTGCTGTTCACGAAGGGAGAGGGAGAGGGAGGACTGAGCCCAGGGCGCTCCCGTGTGTAGTGGTCCAGACGGGAAGAAGTGACAGAAGTGGGAGAACCCAGAGGGTGGGGTTTCTTGAGAGAAAGAATGAAGGATGTTCGAGAGGAAGAGGGAGGGGTTCAGTGTGCCAAGCGGCTGCCAGGTCAGCTCGAGTGGGGCCCAGGCTCTTTGGATTTGGCAATGGAAGGGTTGGTGACCTCGGCGAGAGCAATTCTGGAGCAGAGGTGGGGGTGAAAGTCTGATGGGAACAGTTTCAACAGAGCCCAGGAGGAGGGCAATGGGAGATGGCGGAGCTGATCGAACCTTGCACGGAAATTTCGGTGGAAGGGGAGCAGAGAAATGGGCGGGGACCCAGAAGAGGCTGTGGGATCAAGGGAGGGTTGTGTTTTGTTTTTAATGAGAGAAATAACAATGAGGGAGAATGATCTAGAAAAGAGGAGAAAAACGGGTGATGCAGGAGAGAGGGACATTGCTGGGGGGCTGTGCCTCTGAGTGGACAAGATGCAGGGCAGAAGGAAAGCGCTGGCCTTGACTGGGAGCACAGATGGTCCGCTGTCACTGGCGGGAAGGCGAGGCGGCTGTCAGCTGGGAGCGGAGAGGGGTGAGGTGTGGAGTATGAAGAGGAAGAAAGCCCGGGCGTCATCCAGGAGGAGGGAGAGTAGGTGGACGACAGATCTGGCCGCCCAGGGCCCGCCCGAGGCCAGAGGTCCTGGGTGGCTGTGAGCTTTCTCTCCAGAACGTCCAGCTGTGCGGGGGCGGGCACAGAGTGGGTGGGGAGGCGGCTTCTGAGCTGAGTCAGGAAAGGGAAGTCGGGGGAAGAGTGTCCCAGGCAGAGGGAACCGCAACAGCCATGTCCTGAGGTAGGGAGCAGCGGGGTGTCCGGAGGAAGAGGAAAAAGCTGATGTGGCTGCCGCCTGGTGAGTGGCGGGGAGCGTGGCCGGAGATGGCACCCAAGAGGTGGCGGGAGGCCAGATGGTGCAGAGCCTGCCGGGGCATAGTAAATACTTTGGCTTTTCCCCTCGGTGTGATGGGAAGTCTCTGGAAGGTGTTAAGCAGGGGAGAGACTTACTTTGATTTTAAGTTGTTGTTGTTTTTTAAAAAATTATATATATATATATATATTAGAGAGAGAGAGGAAGAGAGAGGGAAAGACAGAGAGAAACATCGATGTGAGAAAAGAACATTGATTGGTTGCCTCTGCATGTGCTTTAACCAGGGCCTGGCGAGGGCTAAAATATATTTTTTTATTGATTTCAGAGAGGAAGGGAGAGGGAGAGAGAGATAGACACATCAATGATGAGAATCATCGATTGGCTGCCCCCTGCACCCTCCACACTGGGGACCAAGCCCGAAACCCAGTCGGGTGCCCTGATGGGGAATTGAACCATGTCCTCCTGGTTCACAGGTCAACGCTCACTGAGCCACGGCAACCGGGCTAATGTTAAGTTTTTAAGGATCGCCTGGGTACTGTGCCAAGGGGACAGGTGTGCCCCTGGCGGCCTTGGGAGGGCAGATCTGAGGGACGGATGTTTCCAGGGAGGAGAGTAGGCAGGCCGACTCCATCTTAAATCCCTGGGGACCTGGAGGTGGGTTTGGCTGGAAGGGAAGGAGAGCAGACGTGGGACATGACCCTGTGACTCCGCTGTGGGTGGCCCCAGGACGCCCTCGAGCTGGTCTCCCCTCTTCCACACAGGCCTGGGCTTGTGTTTCAGTTTCCAGTCGACCATCACCGTATTGGGCTTCTATTTCACCCGCCGGCGGGCGCTGGCCAACGCTGTGGCTTCGGTGGGCGTCTCCCTGGGCATCACACTCTGGCCGCTGCTGGCCCGCCATCTCCTGGAGGAACTGGGCTGGAGGGGCACCTTCCTGGTCTTCGGCGGGGTTTTCCTCCACTGCTGCGTCTGCGGCGCCATCCTGAGGCCCGTGGCCCCCAGCGTGGCCCCTGCACCCAGAAAAGGCCCACCTGTGCCCTCCAAGACACCAGCGCCCGGCTGCCCGGCAGCATGTGGCCGGGCCCTCCTGCGCCACCTGGCCTTCGACATCCTGTGGCACAACGCAGGCTACCGCGTGTTCACGCTGGGCGTCACATGGATGATCCTCGGTTTCCCGCTGCCACAAGTCTTCCTGGTGCCGTTCGCCATGCGGCACGGGGTCGACGAGCACAAGGCCGCCCTGCTCATCTCCATCATCGGCTTTAGCAACATCTTCCTGCGGCCCATGGCCGGGCTGGTGGCCGGCCGCCAGAACTTCGCCAGATATCGCAAGTACCTCTTCAGCCTCGCGGTTCTGCTCAACGGGCTCACCAACCTGGTGTGCACGGTGTCGGCCAACTTCCGAGTGCTGGTGGGCTACTGCCTGGTGTACAGCGTGTCCATGAGCGTGGTTGGCGCCCTCTTCTTCCAGGTCCTCATGGACGTGGTCCCCATGGATCGGTTCTCCAGGGCCCTGGGCCTCTGCACCATCCTGGAGAGCATCTCCATCCTCATCTCCCCGCCCATGGCTGGTGAGGCCCAAGAGGGAGGGCGTGGCCTGGGAGGGCAGGGTGAGGGGGTGAGGCGGAGGGAACAGTCTGGACAGATTTGGGCCCCGTCCAGCATCCCAGGGGGAGGGACTTGGAATCTGTGATTTTCCCCCAAGCGCCTCAGGGGACTGGCTGCAGCCTGTTCCCCAGCTGGCACTCAATCTGAAGAGTTAAAAGTGGGGGTTTGGGTACCACACTTAGCTGAGTCTGTCATCTTCCTCTCCGTACCTGTTTTCTTATCAACAAAGTGAGGATGAGAATAGAATCTACCTGGTAGGCTTGTTGTGAGGGTCACAGTTATACCGTTAAGCTCTAAGTAGAGAAGATGGCAGAGTAAGTACTATGCACGGATTGGCTGTTGTTGACATCCTGGGTCTGCCACTTCCTGCCCGTGGGACCGACCCCACATCTCATTGACCTTCTCTGAGCCACAGTGTTATCTGCAAAATGCAGAAAAGAGCACCTGCCTCACCCAGGATTGGCCTGTGCCGGTCACGGTGCCCACGGCCAGAGGCAGAGACTTCTGGGGGCGGGGGGGAACGGCAATCAAAGCGAAGAGACGTATTTGGGGGCCCAGTGGCGGTTTGTGCCGGGAGGGAAACGTGCAGGTATAGAAACAGAGCCCCACACGGGAGGTATGACATGCAGAGCAAAAGGGAAGGTTTGTGAAGCCTTTGGTGCCGGGGGACAGTCACACAGACAACACATGGCTGCCGTCATTACAGTTAGATGACGGGGACTCTTCCCCCGAGTGTGGAGCGGGAAGGCCCAGTTTCCACGGGATCCCCGCCCCCTGCCCGCCACGGCAGCAAGTGCAGAGAGCTGGCTGGGAGAGGCCTGGGGGGCCCAGGGCGGGGCCGATCCGATCCGATATCCCGACTCCACTGGCCCTTGTCCTCATAGCTCCCTGCCCCCGGGTGAGCGAGACATGCCCTCAAGTGCTCTTTGGCCCGAGGTCTCTTCCTGCCTGGGCCAGAGGAGGCTTAGTGTTTCCTCTCCCCCCACCTTTACCAACTATTTCCTGAGTGCCTAGACCAGTGATGGCGAACCTTTTGAGCTCGGCGTGTCAGCATTTTGAAAAACCCTAACTTAACTCTGGTGCCGTGTCACATGTAGAAATGTTTTGATATTTGCAACCATAGTAAAACCAAGACTTATATTTTTGAGATTTATTTTATATATTTAAATGCCATTTCACAAAGAAAAATCAACCAAACAAATGAGTTCGTGTGTCACCTCTGACACGCGTGTCATAGGTTCGCCATCACTGGCCTAGTAGGTGCCAACCCCAGTTCCTGGTCCTGGGGTTCGGCAGAGACAAAAGGAAAAGCCCTGCTCTTGCGGAGCGCACAGGGCAGTGGGGGGCTGGCAGCCGGGCCGTGGCCTAACGTGCTCTCTGTCCTTCAGGGTTTGTCCTGGACAACACCGACAGCAACTTCAGCTACGTCTTCTACATGTCAAGCTTCTTCCTCGTCTCCGCCGCCCTCTTCATGGGTGGCGGCTTCTGTGCGATTCAGAAGAAGGAGAGGCAGGGCAGGCCGGCCGAGGCAGAAGCAGCCGTCCCGGAGCCGGCCCCGCTGAGGGCCCTCAGCAGGGAGGACACAGGCAGCTCGGAGAAGCGGCCGTGCACCGAAGAAATCATGTATGTGACCAGCGTCTGAGCCCCAGGATCACATGTGTGACCGGCGTCTGAGCCCCGAGGCCGGTGAGCGAACACTGCCTCCGCCCAGGAACGCGATGTCCTGCAGTTTCACCGGGTGAAGCCTGAACCGAAGGGCAGGCCGGCCCGCCCCGCACGTCGGGACTCAGCCAGGGGCTGGGGCCTTGGAGGCTGGCCTCCGAAGACTCAGGGTTCCTTCCAACGAGCAGAATCCAGGAGCCGGTCCTCCTGACTTTTTTCCCTTTTTTCCTTGGGCACCAGGGTACTTGGGGCCCAAGAAGGTGGGTCTGAGCTCTGCTTGGGTCTCTCATGGCCGACGGGGCTCAGCTGGCTGCCCACTGCCGCTGCTACAACTCAACACGCCGGGCCTTCAGGTCCAGCCTGGATGCTTCATAGGTGACCTCTCTGTCCTTCTCCAGCCTCCAGCTCCAGACAGTTCCAAAAGTTCACCCTAAGTCCCCCTAAGCCCTCCTGCCTCCCTTCCTCCCTGTGGCCCAGCCCTTGCCCTCAGGGCTGCCCCCAGCATGGGTTACTGGGCCTCCCACTGACTGGGACTTGGGAAGAAGGGCCTTGGGAGAGAATTGGTGGTGGCCTGCAGCCGTGGATGGCCGAGCTGCGGATGAGCCTGGATGCAGGGTTCGGATAGATTAAATGCTGGTGGAGCACCTGCCCTGGTGTCTGTGCAGAGAATCGGAGGGGAGCACCTGACTTGGGTCCTTGAATCAGTGAAGTCTGAGGAACCCCTTACACCAGCGGTTCTCAACCTGTGGGTTGCTCAGGCTTTCCCCCTTTGGGGGTCAAACGACCCTTTCACAGGGGTCGCCTAAGACCATCGGAAAACGCATATATAATTACATGTTGTTTTTGTGATTAATCACTTATGTTTTAATTATGTTCAATTTGTAACCATGAAATTGGGGGTCACCACAACACGAGGAACTGTATTTAAGGGTGGCGGCATTAGGAAGGTTGAGAACCACTGCCATACACAGTCAGCAGAGCCCGCTCCAGGGTCTCATTCCTTTGCCCCACCCAGACTTGTGACCAGGAAGATTAATGTGGGGGGTTGGGTGGGGGAAGCCAGACAGTTGACTGAGCAGGGAGGGTCGGATTGCTAGGCAGGGCCCAAGGGCCTCTGTGGAAATAGAGCTGCCCTCGCAACAGAAGCCCTTCTGCTCCCCTCTCCCGCCCTCCTGGTCTCCCTGCTGTGTCCGAGGCCTCAACCCTGGGTGAGTAGCTGGCTGGGCCAGCTGCCAGTCCCCCCTGCTCCCCATGGGCCTGTGTCTGTGGCCTGAGGTCAGAGCTCTCCCCACACACC